TGGTGCATACAAAAATCCGCCGTTTTTTATTAATGACCTTCATAAAAGCTACAAAACTAATACAGTCTTTTTGAGGCATTCAGGGGCTTAGCACTGACGCTACGAATTGTTAAATGTCAAGGATAAGCTTGAGGCTAAGTTTTTCAAAAAGCAGTACTTTTTGTAGCCCTAATCATGTTTGGCGGAGACCTTTGTAAAGTCAAGCAATTTTCTGCCATCCAGATAGGCCGGACGATATGCTTCCGGTTCTTGACTGCCTTCCCATAAAATCGAGCCAAACAAAATTTTATGTTATATGCATGAATACAAAGGCAACAGGGGCTGCTCTCCGATTATACCCTTCTGTTCGCCATCTTCAGCAACCGTTGCTGCGCAGACCTCGAAGCTGCGAAGCCGCTCTCTTTTAAACCTTCGCAGTAAGTGTTGAGAGATTCGCAAACAAAATGTGGGGATTTTAACTGCCTCCGTAAAGTATTTGGGAACCTGCAATCCAGCAATTGAATAACCTGCAGAGACGGAGGAGCGGACGTAGGTAACTGACGCCTCTAAGTGCCTTCTGTTGGGTCAATGTATTGATCTGGATAAAAGGGATCTGTTGCAGCATGTCATCACAATGCCATTGCCAAGAATGGGGACATGAAATTCGGCAATCCGAGGAATGCGAAATCTCCAAATCCAAGGTGTCGTCTTGAAGAAAGTGGGGAGAGGGTGGTAAAGTAGTAACACCAATCCCCAAGCCATACATTGAGACTTTTGAGAGCCAGGTGTTAATAGTCTCTCTTCTGCCTGTAGCTAAAATGAACAAATTCTTTTATTGAAGGGAATGAAAAAGAATAAAAATATAACATTTTTATTTGTTCCACTTCCGAAACAGGGATCAGTGATGGTAACGAGGGATCTGACTCGTGTTGGTCTGGAGAATGCAGATGCCTGTCTAGTTCTTGCGAACAAATATTCCAACGACCCAGACGCCGAGGACGCCACCAACATAATGCGCGTCATTTCCATCAAAAACTGTTGCGCCAACATCAAGGTCAGTCAATCCGAGGAATTCTAAGTTTGTGACATCTCTACCGCCAACCACCTCTGTTCCTCCTTCCAGTTCATGAAACCAC